CCTTTCGTGAACCACCCGCGCTCTCGCGCGCGGAGCATTCCGCGTTGCCGCAATGGGTCAGTGGTCACGTTGGCCTGGAAGTTCAAGTTGGCCGTTTTGCGGTGACCGACTGGGTTTCCAACTTAACATGCGGTTTTTATGTGACCGCCTACTGGTGCTGCGCGCAGCGCGCCGACGCGCGCGCGCGCTCGCGCGCGTGGTGCTTTGCCTATTGTCCACAATCGATCAATCGCCATGTTGGCCTGGAAACTAAAGTGAACCCTTAGCGGTGACCGACTGGATTTCCAACTTAACATGCTGTTTTTACGTGGCCGCCGATTGGTGCTGCATGCAACGCGCCAGCGCGCGCGCACTCGCGCGTGGTGGTTTCTGTATTGCCCACAAGAAGAATCGTCATGCTTGGCTTGGGAACTGAAGTGGGCCCTTAGCGGTGACCGATTGGAATTTCAACGTATCATGCATTTTCCATGTATGTACTTGGGGAAACGCGCGCGAGCGCGTTTTCGAGCGTGGCGGATTCTGGTTTGGCCTGGTCTGGTTTGGCCTGGTTGGTCTGGCGTGGCTGGCCGACGCGCTGCGCGAGTCAAACCAGCGCAAACTCCAGCAGCGCAGGCTGCCCCAAAGACCCAGGCAGCCGCCCAAAACCACACTGTACCTCCAAGCGGCCCCCAACCTACCCCCCCCCCCCCCCTCCCCCGATGCCGCCAGCCCCCGCCAAGCGCCCAAGCAGACCCTTGAGACCCTGATTGGGCCCAGCGCTTCGCAACTTAACCTCGTTCGTTCAACGGGCAGGGGCTGTCGGCATAGGCAACTAGATCTCTGTCCTGCGTCAGCGGTGCTTATCGTGTAAAAGCAGCTACATGCTTGGTTTCCGTCAGCGAGGCTGTCGGGTATAAGCAGCTTTTTTTTGTTATTTCTTTGTTTTTATTTTTTTTTTTGGTTTTTTTTTTTAGTTTTTTTATTTTTTTTCTTTTTTTTTTTTTATTTGCTTTTTTTTTTTTAGATGCTTTTTGTTTTTTTGTTTCTTTTTTTTTTTTTTTGTTTTATTTTTTCTTTATTTTTTTGTTTTTTTTATTTTTTTTTTTTTTTTTTATTCTCTTTTTTTTTTCCTTCCTTTTTTTTTCTATGTTTTTCTGTCTTTTTATTGTTTTTTTTTCTTTTTTTTTTTTTTTATTTTTCGTTTTGTTTAGTTTTTTTGTTTCTTGTTTTTTATTTTTATGGTTTTCTTTTTTCCTCTTTTCTTTTTTTTTTTTTGTTATTTTTTGTTTAGTTTTTCTTTTTTTTTTTTCTTTTCTTTTTTTATTGGTTTTTTGTTCTTTTTTTTTTTTTTTTTTTTTTTTGTTGTTGTTCCGACAGCGGTGGTGCGGTCGGGACTTTTTTTTTTTTTTGAAAAGAACTCGTTGCGAGCGCGCTGCAGGGTTGGCATGAGCCCTTCTGTGCACATGAAGCGGGGGTCATCACGAAGCCCTGTTGGGAAAAAGCTGGGTCACGGGAACAATCGCCATCACAAGCGCGAGCAACACCATCAGCGCCGTCACCAGCGCAACCAACAACGCAACCACAAACACAACCATAACCACAAACACAAACACCAACACACATACAACCAACCACCCCACGAAAAATGTAACGAACACCCCGTGGGAACCACTTATCGGCTCGGGGTTTTAAGAATGGGCCAGCGCATGCAAACCGCTCCAACGCCCATGTATGTGGATCAATCCTATGAAACAGACACCTCATGCACGAGCGCAGCTGCCAGCACAGCCACCAGCACAACCAACAACGCAACCATTACCATGATCACCGCCGCTAGCACACACACGCAACCAGCAGCGCAAAACACCTCCACTACCCCAACAAGCCCCCAATAAGACTCTAAGAGGCCTCCAAGATGCTCCCAATATGCCCCCCCCCGAAATAGCTACTCCGCCCTAAAGAAGCCGACCCAACTTGACTGGTGCATGTTTCTGGATGGGCTGGGGGGATACGCGAAGCGGCAATCATGTTTGTGAATATCCTGTGTGCTCCGCAAAGCGACCCCGTGTGCCCTTGCGCGCGCGCGTGCGCGTGTGCGTGCGTGCGGGGGGGTGCATGGTAGGCGCAGAAGGACCCATTGATGGTAGCCATGCGGGAATGCATTGTAAGCTTAGGAGGACCCCTTGCCGCACCATGCCAGGTTTTGGAAGGCTGGTGCTCAGTTGGAGTCGGTTGGTTGCGGCCTGAAGCCGTCCCTTATCAATGTGACCAACACAGACAACTGGATCAAGGAGGAAGCTAAGCGCCTCTTCGACTACGACCCAGAGGAATGTCCCAATGGCATGTCTTATCCAGCCGACATGGGGTGTGCAGAGAAGTACGGTGGGATTTGCCCAGAAGAACCTGGGTTTGCCCGTGTGGTCACAGGTCCTAGGTCTCGTGGCGAAGGCCGCCCCGCCCTCGTTCAGTCAGTCCACCCTTTGCCCCGCGAGGTTTTTTTTCAAGCAATGTCATTCGGATTTCCTTGGGGGCGTGGTTCAAACCAAACTCGTTCGCGAAAACGGGGTGGGGCAACGAGTATTGGTTTCCGATTCAATGCCACATGTAATAGTGTATGATAAGCAACACCCACACATTGTTATAGTGTATGCCATGTGTGTATCGCGTGCTCATAGCAATACACGTTGCAGACCACCCAATCAGCCCCACAAGGCTCACAAGAGGGGGTTCAGGGGGGTCTTCGTCCACCACAGGTTCCAAGAATCTGTATGCTGCGTTGGTGCAAAACAGGATTGGTACCCAGGGATCTCTACCACTTCATATTTGCTTGAGTGCGTTGGGTGTGCATAAGTGCGGGATGCTCACTTTCAAATTTGGGGCTGGTGGTGAATACTTCACGATCGTGAGGGTCAGCCAGTACGCCAGTGGCAACTGGGGGCCACAGACGGATGGGGGAGTTCAGTTAGTTTCGTTGCCGTTCAATGTATTTCTGAAACGCTTTATCATGCGTGCCAGAGCCCAGGAAGATCACGGGGGAGATGAGATCGATGAATTAAGTTGTGCGATCTGCAGGCCGATCAGGGCGCCACGGGAACACAATAGACAGTTCGCCTATCGTTTAGAGCAGCTTCTTGATTTCAATCTGAGCCTGGTCGCAGTCAAAAAGAAGGCCAAGACAAAAGAGGGCCCTGCCCCTGCTCCATGGTTGCCGTTCGGCATGGCACCCGTTGAAATGGAAGATGAGCCAGCTCCCGTCACGAAGGCTGGCGAACCCCCCGACCCGTTAGACGAGGCCGACCGATGCGAGTACCATGATGACTCTGGAGAAGAGTCCTTGTGTGATAACATTGATATGTCTAGTGAGAGTTGCGCTGACTCTGATCCTGGTGATGGCCCACACGAGGCCGACCCAGAGCCGTTTCCTGTGCCAGCTCCGCCACTGCCAGCTCCAGCTCCTGTGGAGCCTGTCGGCGAAGGCCCAGGCCCTCCAGGCCCTCCAGGCCCTGAACTCCCAAGAGGAGGCCTCACGTTGTACGGCATGGCCCCCACTGGCCGTGCGAAGTGCGTCATATGTGACGGTGTGATTCCGAAAGGAGAGTGGCGGGTGGAGCACCGAATGCGAGATTCATCCAAACTCTCCGACGTGAGAAAGGTTCACATCAGGTGTATTCCTCGGCTGCCAGCCGAGTTGCGAGCGCATAATTTTTTAGTTGCCCAGGAGTGGGCTCGTCGACCTGACATCCCCCTTGCTGAGCAAGACATCTTGAATACGATTGTCGAGATGCTCCGTCCAGATGCAGGCGCTGCTGCATCCTCTGGAGATCCTGCCCCTGGACCGCCTGGAGCTTAGGCAACGAGTTTCCAGTGCGCCACTTGTCTCTGGCTTGCATGCTGCGTGCAATGATGATGCCATAGGGTCGGGATGGGGGGAGAACTGGAGTAGCGAGTAGTAGAAAGGGGGGCTCGAGGAGGTGACGTCATACCGGTTGCGGGCTGCCCGCCATGGGTCCGCTCGCGGTGGAAACCTTGCGCCGCCGAAGCCCTAGCCTAAGCTCGCTCACCCACCCAAGGAAACAGAAGTTGCACCGCCGAAGGGCCCGAACTGGGCCTGCCCAGGGCCGCCCAAACGTCTGAACAACAGTCTGTTCAGAACCCCATCTTTTTCTGAACAGCCCCCCTCTTCTGAACACGCGTTTGTTCAGAACTCGCCGTTTCCTTGAAAAACACATGCGTTCAGAACAATTCTTCTGAACAGGAATTGTTCAGAGGTTTGTTCAGATGCAATCTTCTGAACAAAGCTCTGTTCAGAACTGTACTTTTGGGTTGTGCAAGGTCCCCGCGCCAGGGGGTGCGAGCTTAGGTGGCAGGGGCGCGAGCTGCAGATGCGAAAACGTCGCAGCCCGCAGATCGGACTGAACTTGGCTCGCGCCGCTGTTTGATTTTTGATGCTGCTCAGCGCTTGAGCTCGATTGAGCGTGAGTCAGTCGACGGACTGAGTCGCGGAGCACGTGGCCTCGCCACCTTCATGGCCAAGAGACGTGCGGCCGCCGCAGGCATTGCCATCGAATCCTTCTCACTTCTCTCGAGAGGTCAAGCTGGCCCTCCTTCTGGGCCCCTGAGGACTTGATAGCGCCATTAGTGAGTTAGTTGTTTTACCAACTTCGTCTTTGTTCATCTCCGATGTCTGGAGCACTCAATACTCTGCAAGTAAAGCCGTCCCCCTATAACAAGTTTAGCATTGAAAGGTTAATGGTGCAGGGCCCAGAGGAGAGGCCCACGTACGCTGCCAAGCAACAATGCAACCGTGCAAACAAACAAACAAAACATTCATGCGTCAATCGATGGCATCAAAACGCAGGCCGCCAACAACATGTTCTAAATATTTGGGCCGTCTGGGCGTCCATAGGCATGCGCACCTAGTATTATGAACAGCACGATTGCACGATCATACCATACTATGTTCGTTCGCAGCCATTTTGGCCTGGAGAAGGCTGCGACGCGCTGCGTCTGCAGCTTTCCAGATTGGCCAGCCTACAGGCCAACATATTCATTTCGGTATCTCGGATTCCAGTTTCCAGTTCGATGGGCAAGACAGTTGTGGTTCCCAAGTCGTGTGCGGGTGGCCTGCACGCCAAGAAGACGGCCACTCAGACTCAGACTCAGACTCGGAAGAAGCCGAAAACTATCCAGGAAGAGATCGCAGAAGCTGATCCTGCAGAATGCTGTCTCTGTGGGCAGACCAGCCGTGACATCGATCGCGACGGCGATGACGTCGCTTTGGTCAAGTGGGTGAAGTATGATCGGAGCTCCGTGACTGGCCAGATCAGGCTATCAGGCAGAGAGTGCCACCACTGCTGGGACACCAAACGACGATTTTTCGACTGTGCACTCCAGGAGCTGGTGGACGAGAAGAAAAGTAACCCAACCTTAGACACTCGATTCGGCCTCCTTCGGCGCGATCGCGTCAGGAAAGAAGGGAAGTTCAAACACGAGGAGAAGAAGACACTCAAATGCTGGACCGAGTCCTTCGAGGAGAGCTACGTGGACTCATTCGAGGAGGGCGGCTTCTACAAGCTCTCGACCTTCTGCAAGATCTACAAGGTGCCCTATGCTCGCTCCGATGAGGAAGATGAGGTCATCGAGAAGATTCGCCATAAGTACCCCGCTGCAGAGATCTCCAGGGACACCAGGTTTCGCGCCATGGGCGTGTGGGTGGTCAATGATCCGAACCCTCAGCTTGCAGATTACAGGTTTCGGCGCGGAGTCAAGAGCGGTGCAACCAACAATAGAGTGGAGGAGCATGCTGATGAAGACCTTGCTGATGAGGCCTACCAGCAGCAGAGGAAGGTCAGGCGACTGACTAGCAAGGCCCCTGCTGCGCTGCGAGCTCGGAGCCACGACGTGGATGACAAGGACGTGGCCAACATGGAGGACGTCGCCGAGTCCGACGCCGATGCAGCAGAGTCCGAGGTGCCGCAGCGGGCCACGCCGATGCAGTCTCCTTCTTCCGCTGGGCCAGGAGTGTTTGTGTTGCCGTTCGACGCCAAGTCTCGCGACTCTCGTGGCAGCGCCGTGGAGCTCAGCGTGGCCCGCGACGGCGACGACGACTACGCGGACGATACTGGCGGCTCTGTGGCTGGGGTGCGTGTAGGGCACAGAAATCTCCCTCCAATGTAGCTCTATTGTAAGTTTTGCATGGGCATTCGTGTTTGTTTTGTTACGCGTTTTTCTTCGTTTGGTGCCGGGTGCCCGAGTGAAACGCATGCGGTTTTAAGAACAAACACACCTAATGGGCGGCGCCGTTTTGGCGCTAGGGTTAACGCAATTGGTGGGGATTTCTGTGGCCTCGAAGGGCAAGGCCAACAAGAAGTGTAGTCCCAAAGACGCTGCCGTGGGCAGGGCCTTGCTCAGGCGGGCCAAGGCGATGGACGTCCATGATGCGGAGCAGCAGTGGAACAACCGCCCTAGGAATCGAACTCACGAGGCCGCCACCACTGCTCTCGTCAAGTCGGCTCGCGAGCTCGCCAAGTTCCCTAGTGATGAGGCCTGCCTGAAGCTGTCTGAGGAGGTCACCATCCTGGCGCGCGAGATGCAGGATCGTAAACGTATATTTGATGAGCTGAAGCAGGCCCCCGCTGATTTTGTCAACCAGGTGTTCTCGGATGATGATCGGAAGACGGTGCTATCTTTGAAATGTCCCCTCCTCGTGCAGATTATCCAACAGACATCGTTCCAATTGGCGTCCATTGACCCCTCACTCATGTTGAAGCTCGCCGAATGCCCAATCGACATCGTCCCCGACACAGATGCTCAGCCCCCTGGCTGGTTCCCGCTCTCACGCATGTGTTTGGGGATGGCCTTGCTATCCTCGGGGTGCACCGACAGCAATCCCACGGCCGAGACGGTCATCGCGCTGCTCACCCGCACGCAGAACAGCATCGTGGTGGACATGGTGGAGCGGATCTGCCTCGACGCGAAGCATGAGGACAAATGCGTGGCCATGATCGAGGAGGTGCGGTCGGCCTTGCAGCACTTTGCGCCCTTCGTGTTCGACGATGCCGAAACGATTACGTACGAGCGCGGGGAGACGAAGTGCGAGGTGCAGATCAAGCACGGTTTGTTCAAGCAGGCTTACATCGACCTCTCGATGATGATCGTCGCGGGCGACGTCCTCAAGACCGTTCGTGCAGGGGGGGTCGTGTCAGGAGAGCTTCGCACCACTGCGAAGAAGATGATGGCTGCGATCAAGATGGCTTCGCCACGCCTTCGCAACCTCGCCACGGCTGCAGGCCTCAAGGGCTCATGCAACTCGAACGCCATCAAGCTCGCATGGGACAAGTTGGCTGAGATGTTTCCTAGCACGGACCCAACTGCAATCGCGAACGAGATCGATGGCACCAACTCGGCCTTCCAGGAGAAGGTCATGTCGTTGTGCAAGGGCCATGCCGAAGCCAAGCCTTCCGAGGGGGAGGCTGAGGCGGCTGAGGCTACGGATCCGCGGGTGGACGCCTTCAACATGATGGTCGACCTCACTGAGCACACTGGCGTGGTCGACAGATTTGCTTCCTTGTGTATCTACGGTGACGCTTCCGACTTCGAGGAGGAGGTCCACCGCGGCGTTTTTTTTTTTGTTTCAATTTGTGTTGTTTATTTTGTTTTTTTTTTTTTTCACTTTTTTTTTTTTTTTTATTTTTCTTGTTTTTTTTGTTTGGTTTTTTTTTATTGTCTTTTTTTGTTTTAAGATTACCCCTTTTACACGTTTTTTTTTTTTTCTTGTTATGCTGATTTTAGGTGGGGGTTTTTGTTGGGGTTCGTGTTTTTCTTTTTTTTTTTTTTTTTTTTTTTCCAGGCGGCCGCCAAGGACCTGATCTTCTTCATTGTGGCCAACGTCGACGTCTACAAGCCTGCCCTTGGTTCGGTCGAGGCCGTGGTCTGCTTAACTTTGAGCTCGGTGATATTTCGATGATGGGGTCTCTTATGATATACGCCTGTACTGCATGGCAACAGACACGCATCCACATGTCACTGCAAGTTGCGTTGCCGTTAATCGTAACTGTTTGTGCAACTGGGTTTTCAAGGGCCTTTGCGCTCAAGTGCTGTCCGTGAGCGTTTTCGAAGGGCTGTGCGGACTACAACCTGTCTTATGGCAGGGGTCATTGGTTCCACGATCGTGCGAGCTTGCTTTAGCTTGAAGGGTGCCCCTGAATCTCCAGAGTCTCCAGAGGGGGAGGCCTCCGCGGGCCCGTTGCTCTCTTTAGCAGTCGGGGCCTATGGTGGGGAATGGGGGTGGGGGAGGGGGGGCCTCTCGGGGCCATCTTAAAGCGGGTTTGGAGCCATCTTGGAGCTGAGCAATATCCAAGCTAGCTGGGGCACTCAGGAGGCACGTGTGGGCCGAAACCTCGGGTACAATTCAATGCAGGGGCCGATTTGGGGATATCGATCTATGAATGGGGGGCCATACCAGCGTCGCCCTCTAGATTCTAAATCCCCCTAGGTCGCCTCTTGGGGCCCTGTTGGTAAACCATGTGCGTTCGGGGGCGCTCTTGGGGCTTGGGGCCGTCTTGGATCTTGGGGCTGTCTTGGTTCTGTCGCGGGGCTCCCCCAAGACACATTAGAACCGATTTCCAACGCCCGACAGAAGCGAAACTGCAAAATCACGTGCTTGTTGCACTAAGTGTTGGAAGGGGGGTTACTTTGACCCTGCGGAGCGCCAGTGGGATGACCCATGGGTATTCTAAGCTCGAGGGAACCTTGGGGTCTTGGGGTTCGGTGGCGGTGGTCGTTGCAGGTGGCCGCTGGCGCGTGCCATCGGCCAGCCGCGGCGGAGGTTTCAGTAGTTCCGTTCTGTCCAACCTAGGGAAGTAGCCATATCGGCTCGTTGGCTAAGGTGCCACCGTACATAGCGCTATCGGGGGATGGAATAGACAATGGATGGGCGTTGTTGCATGTCCACAAAAAAAAAACGCCAGCCGCGGTGGGGCCCACCATGCGCTTTTATGCGCCAGCCCACTGGTGCAACGCACAACGTGCCGACTCGCGTGCTCTTGCGCGTTGCGGTTTCTGCATTGCCCGCACTAAGACAATCGCAATGTTGGCCTGGGAGCCGAACTGAACCCTTGGTGGCGACCGATTCGGTTTCCAACTTCTAAACGGACATGCGTGCTGCACGTGTCCGTCTATTTGCACAGCGCGCCGATGCGCGCGCGCGGTCTCGCGCGCTCTGGCCCCAATCTTGTCCGCAATCGGACGGTCGCAATGTTGGCCTGGACACTAACGTGCGACATCAGCGGTGGCCGATTGGAGCTCAAACTGAACTCGCGGCGTTTACGCCTACGCGTCCGTATTTTGGCGCGGCACACAACGGGCCGACGCGCGCGCGGGCTCTCGGGAGTGGCGGTGCCTGTCAGCAATAGGGCAGTCGCCATGTTGGCCTGGAAACTGAAGTGGGCCCTCAGCGGTGACCGATTTGATTTCCAACACCTCATGTGTTTTCCACGTGTTCGTGCATTTGCATAATGGCAAGGGCGCCAGCGCGCGCGCGAGCGGTGCTCCCGCCTTGCCCGCAATAGAGGGCATGTGCCACGCTGACCTGGGGACTGAACACTGAACTGAAACCTTGGCGCCGACCGACCGATCGGAATTCCAAAGTAACATGCATGTTGTTTCGCGTGTCTCCCTGTTGGTGCTGATTACATGGCGTGCGCGATTTTTCTGGTGTGGACAATGTAAAAATCGCGCGCGCACGATTTCTGTATTGTCCACAATAGAACATTCGCTATGCTGGCCTAGAAACTGAAGTGAACCCTTGGCGGTGACAGATGCGATTTTCAACCCGACATGCTTTTTTTACGTGACCACCGAATGGTGCTGCGAGCAACGCGCCGACGCTCGCGCGCGAGGGGTAATTTCCTCATTGTCCACAGTCCACAATGGAGCAATCGCCATGTTGGCCTGGAAACTGAAGTGGCACCTTAGCGGTGACATATTGGATGTTTAAGTTAACATACGGTTTACCGTGACCACCTAATGGTGATGTGCAGGACGCGCCGCCGACGCGCGCGCGCTCTCGCGCGTGGTGGTTGATGTGATGCCCATTGCCGAACATAGCACATCGTCGCTTTGGTCTGGGAACGGAAGCGAACCCTTGGTGGTGACAGATTTGATTTCTAACCCAGCATGTGTTTTTTTTACAAGTCTGTCTTTTTTGTGAACAACGCGCGATCTCGCGCGCGGGTGATTTTGTGTTGCCGCAGTGGGACAGTGGCCAAATTGGCCTGGAAACTGGCGTGGACCTTCAGCAGTGACCGATTGGATTTCCAACTGGACATGCGGTTTTTACGTGACCGCCTATTGGTGCGGCGTGCAACGCGCCGCGCGTTCTCTCGCGCGCGCGGTGGCTTTGACAGCAATAAGGTTGCCCCCATGATGGCCTGAAGAAACTCTTCTCGACCAACTTTCCAACTTCACATGGGTTGTTTCACGTGTCGGCCTATTGGCGCAGCGCACAACGCGCCGACGCGCGCAAGCTCTCGCGCGCGGTGGCCCCAATAGTGCTCGCAATCGGACGGCCGCCATGCTGACATGGGAACTGCAGTGGACTCTTGTCGGTGGCTTCTTGCATTTTCAACCCAACTTGCGGCATTACGCGTCCGTCTGCGTGTCAAGCGTGCGGCGCGTCGATGCGCGCGTCGCGCGCGCGCGCTCTCGCGCGCGGTGGCGGCTGCGTTGCCAGCTGTAGGGCAGTCGCCACGTTGGCTTCGGAGTTGAAGTGCGCCCTTGGCGGTGGCCGATTGGGTTCCACTAGGACAGGCGTTTTTTTTCGCATGTCCGCCGATGGTGCTTCCTACAAAGCACCGACGCGCGCGCTCGCGAGTGGTCTCTGCAACGGCAACAACAAGGCAGTCGCCATGCTGCCGTGGAAACTGAAGCCCCCCCTGGCGGTGGCCGATTCGATTTCACACTTAACATGCGGTGTTGCGCGCGCCGCGGGATCGGCGCAGCGCGAAACGCGTTGAGACGTGACGCGCGCGCGCCCGCAGGCGGCGGTACCTGCATTGCCCGCAATCGAACAGTCGCCACGTTTGCTTGGGGCCTGAAGTGAACCCACAGCGGTGGCAACTTCGAGCTCCAAGCGAACATGCGGTTTTTACGTGCCCGTCTATGGGGGGAGCGCACAGCGCACCGACGCGCGCGCGCGTTCTCGCGCATGGGGGTTCCTGCCTTGTCCGCAAGGTGGCAGTCGCCATGTGGGCCTGGCAACTGGGGGACCCTTAGCGGTGGCCGCATTGATTTCCAGGCTGGCACGGTGCATTCCCGTGCCCGTTGAAGGGTCTAGCGCGCGACGCGCCGACGAGCGCGCGCGCGCCCTCGCGAGTTGTGCATCCTGCGCTGCGTTGCCCGCAGTCGGGCTGTCGCCACGCTGTCGTTGGGACTAGATAAAGACTAACTGTTCGGGGTGGCCACTTGGGTTTGGATTTCCCACTCCAGCCCACTGCTTGTAGTGCGCCCCCGTCTGTTCGTGCAGCGCGCAGCCCGCCGACGCGGGCGCGCGCCCTCTCGCGCGGTGGCGCCTGTATCGTCCGCAATGGAAAAGTCGCCGCTTTGGCCTGGGAGGTGATGTGGCCCCTTTGAGCGGTACACGAATTGAACTGGTTCACACCACAACAAACATTCCGTCTATTGGTGTTGCGAGCAACGCACTGGCGCGCGCGCTCGCGTTCTGGCGTGGTGGTGCGTATTGGCCGCATGTGAACCATCGCCGCGTTCGCCTGGAGACAGAAGCGAAGTCTTGGCAGTGACCGATTGAATGTCCAACTCCACATGCGTGGTTTACGCGTCCGTCTGCTGGTGCAGCGCGCAGCGCGCCGACGCCCGCGCGCGCGCTCTTGCGCGTGGTCGCCCCTGTATCCTCCGCAATGGGACAATCGCCACGTTGGTTTGGAAACTGAAGTGAGCCCTCAGCGGCGGTGCCCGATTCGATCTCCAACTTAACATGCGTTGTGTTACGCGGAGGTCGACTCGCGCAGCGTTCAACGGCAACGTGCCGACGCGCGCGCGCGCGCTCTCGCGCGCTGCGGGTTCTGTATTGCCCGCAATCGGAAAGTCGCCGCGTCGCCCTGGGAACTGAAGTGGGCCCTTAGCGGTGACCGATTGGAGTTCCAACTTGGCATGCGGTTCGACGTGCCCGTCTACTGGCGCAGCGTACATAGCATTGGCGCGCGCCTGCGCATGGTGGTTCCCGCATACCCGCAATAAGACACTTGTAATTGTGTTCCTTCAACCCGACATGGGCCCTTAGCGGTGGCGTATTTGCTCTCCAACTGAACATGCGGTTGTTTGTTTTACGCGTCCATCTATTTGTGCAGCCGACAAACGTGCGCGCGCTTTCGCACGCGGTGGTTCTGTGATGTCCGCAGTAAGACAGTCGCCATGCTGGCCTGGGCAATTAAATTAACGCCTAGCGGTGACCGATTTGATTTCCAACGGAACATGCGTGGTTGACGTGTCCTGGCATTGGTGTAGCGTGCAATGCGCCAGCGCGCACGCGCGCTCTCGCAAGTGGTGGCGTCTGCGGTGTCCGCAGCAGGGCAGCCGCCATGCTGTCGC